ATTAATTTCTCCCAATTCTAACAATTGCATGTATTCTCGATTTCAAAAAACTCCTCAGAGCTCTATCAACTACTCTATCTCGTAGCTGACATCTGCACGAAGCGTATTGGACCGAATTAATGGCAGAATAAATACTTAGTGCTTAAAATTTCGATGGTCTCAATTTCTAATTCAGGAGGGCTATTAACAACGGTTATAGGGAAAGTTTTGCTGAGGAAATAGTAAAAGAATATGTTAGAAACACACGGTTAGCAATATTTTAAGATGGCAATTTGAAAATTACGGAAAATTAATCGAGGAACAACGCACTTTTTTGTGCAATAAACACTTATAAATATACACTTTTTAAATGGATTGCAATGTAGGTCTCTGGTCGTCCGTCCCAATTATTTCAGACCAGCGAGCTACAGATGTGCAGCTATGTGTTGCTCAGAAAAGTCCTTTCTGCTTTCTAGTATCAAAGCATTTTTTCATTTGTGATATAGATATGATATTTCTAAAAAAGCGTAATTAAAAAACCTTGATAATGTTTTAACTTTTAATGTAACAACCCTATTCGCGGTTATTTAGATGTAAAAACTGTATTGGCAGTTGTATGTAACAAACTTTTGAATATATACATTTGTGGTATCTCTCTATTATATAAACATGCAGAGAACAAATATCTTCATACCTGTATGAAGTTTTTCGAAGGTCATAGGTCATTACGTGACCTAATCACACAGCGCAGTAATATCTACATAAAAAGACTTACTCCACTAAGCAATATAGCATGTTTTTCATGCATAAAAATGTACAAAATACGCAAGTAAAATAATAATCATTTTATTTACAATGTAAACGAGTATTTAATACAGTTCTTGATCGATTTTACAAAGAGAATAGAAAACTACGTGTTATAAGTTTCATGTCTGAGCTGCATAGTCTCAACGTTTACCCTTATTTTTCTCGCAGACCTCTGAATGCTATAATTTTTTTTCCATTAAACTTTACTCACAATAAATTTGAAAATCTGTTGAAAAATATCAATGTAATGCAATCATGCCACAAACAGCTGACAAACACTGCACTTTGGAAGTTCGGTAGGCACACCTCGGCCTCCATCATCGAGATCGTTGTGACGTTGTCTTAACAATGTAAGCTGTCGCCAGTGTCTCCGTGTCAACATCATAAATTAATAAATATACCTTACCGAAATCGTAGATTTTATGTTTTTGATCAAATTTTGCACTTGATTTCAAGTTATCTGGTCCGCACAAGTGTCTCCATCCATCCCTTTCCGACCGAAATTCCTCCAACTTTTTAGTATCCAACATCGGACGTGTTTCTTGTGTTTTTTAACATCGAATATGGGTTCTCATGAATACAAAAATTCCCAGACACCAATATGCTCACTATAATAATTGATCACATGTAGCCTTTCACAGAATATTCCCTTCAAAACAATCCTTTGCCAGATGAATTTGAAGCGTAACCGCTTTTCAAGCCGATTTACACCTAGCGTAATTTGTCAAAATCTACGACGTACAGTTAGTGCAATATTTATATTCGATTACATTCGATTGTCCGTCTCAAATGTATATATAAGTAATAAATAACAAGTATAAAAACTTCAATGGGAATTGAAGTGGGTCGGTACGTGATCAAATCTTCTGAGAAGGCCTTCGGCCTTCACAGGATTTGATCACGTGACCGACCCACTTCAATTCCCATTGAAGTTTTTAAACTTGTTATTTATTTCTTAATTAAAATACGTCAAAGAATGCTGTGTCCGTTTCGTGCTACCGATGTGGTCACAATGTGAACGATTTCTAACGCTTTCGACCATTCAATCGTAAAAAGCTTTCATTATTTCATTTATTTGTGATAACTCCAGTTTGTTGTTTAAATCTTTTAAAATATTAATATTGAATCGCAGATTTTATTTCTCATTTGGACGTCATAATCAAATGTGTACAAGAAAGTCGCCCAAATCATATAAATTGCGTACCCAGTTTTAACGACGTCATCAAACCTGAAGTGAATTGTTATTGTCTTATTGTGACGTCATAATAGAATTGTCGTCGCCAAACACCAATTGTTTGATGATTGATATACAGATCAACATGATCGTTACAGCACATCTACTATTTTTATCCGCGCAGTGGACCTACAAATGGATTTCGTCGAAAATTCAAGGTATTTCAGAATATAATAAAATGCCAAGTTCTGATTGACTCAAATTAAATATTCATATTACAAAACTTTGTACGAAGAATGTGAACACAGAGGAAATAAAATGAAAATCTGTTCTTGTAAACCTTTCGTGAGCCAAGGGCTTTTGGTCCGCTAAGCCTTCCACATATTGTGGGGACTATAATGATCCAAAACCCTAGGCTTGCTAAGATGGACTGGTAATATAAAAGGGGAAAAGTTCCTTTTTCATACAGTATATGGTGAAACAAAACTGTTTGATGATGCCTCAATGTCCTTTTTGTATGAATAACTAAATAAATATATATACCTTTGTTTTAATACCTGAATAAATATTCGTTATATATTTCATACTTATTTAAACAGGTGATGGAAACATCAAGTCTGAGACTGTCGCATCACGAGTCGAAGAAAATCCAGTTCCAACAACAGCCTCTCATAGCAGTGCCGCCACTCCCCGGGCTGTACCCTCCTCTGATACTTACTGTGGATTTCGGAGGGGATTCCTGTTGTAAAAATAATAACTAAGGACCGCCTTTGGGAAAATGATTACATAAATTCAGTTTTAATTATACAACCAATTTGATGAATTTAGACAAAACTTGGATATACGAGTATGTTTTTCAAGGTGGATTGCAGCAAAGATTTGATGTGCAAACCTGAAAGATACAGAGCTACAAGCATTAGGAATTTACTTTTTCGATTTTAAATGTCGGTCTTCATCCGAGTGCATATTAAAAAAAAATTGCATGAAGTAAAATAATGTTCAGAAAAACACTCAGTGCTTTAAAGCATCTGGCGCAGGGCATGTTTCCCACCCACCCCCACAAGCATGTCCAGTTATGTTCATGCCAACTGTGTTTTTTAAACTGCTACTCATTTTAAGAATATTGTGTCGGCTGATGTCTTTAGATACGCTCTGAGGTTTTTTTTTTCATATGTCAAGAAATACATGTATAAAAAAAACCTGCATTTCCATGAATTCAGAAAAGAAGATTCTTGGAAAACGGATCTTGAATGTACTTTCAATTTCCCGTGTCTCAATAAAATATTCTTTGTAATTTTTTGGCAAACTTTTTCTTGGTGTATTCCATTAAAAAAATGAGATCTGCATACAGATTAAGTTTTGTCTTGCTTTTTTTGAAAACTAGAGGACTCTCAAATCACAAAATCCCAACGTCCCCGTTTTTTTTTTTTTTTTAATTTGATTAGAAATTAATCGAGGAATTTAATCATCCTCTCATAAGATTCCATTTGAAAAAAATTAAAACATCTAGTTTTAATTTAAAATAAATTGTTGGAGGATTATATTCATCTTGAGCCACAAGTTTCTCTCTCTCCCTCCCTCTATTATTCTTAGTGATAAATACACTACCCCGATGTAGCAATTCAAGATCACAGATCCAAAGCAGCAAATTTAAAAATGTGAGGGGACAACCAAATAAGAGGGGGGGGGGGGGGGTGGGGGCTGGGGTCATACTCCTCACAGATTCCGTACGTGAATTCCGGTACAAGAAATTCCATAACCCGTGCGTTCCGTGTTCTCACCTGAGTCAACAATCAGGTTTTTTATTTTAATTTGAAGGTGTAATGACATTGTAAGAAAGATAACTTCCAAAATAGTGATTTTTTTTTTTACATGTTACAAATTGAGTTATTTCTATTTCTTTGTAAACAATTTAAAAGTACCGTATTTTGTCATGTACCATGTTCAGAATTTTCATATTTAATAATTTATTTTCCTTAAAAATATTTTGAAGGAAGATAGCTAGTCCTGATAGATGAATTTTTTACAAGCACAGATAACTAATGCATTTGATACTCTGACTTATAAAGCAGCGCTTCATATTTGTCTAAAATGAATTTTCTATGCATGACACCAAATATGTTTTCATATTTACCACATATTTCTAATTTTATGTTGCGATAATTAGTTACTTCTAATCACCGTGTCAGATTTTCTTCACACCATGGTCAGACACAAAATTCATTTCTGCGAAAGTAAGCATGTGCCGCTTCATACTTCATTTTATTTTCCATGTGAATTTAATGCTATTCTTATTGATGTCATTGTGGCAATTTTCTTAGTGAAATTTAGAGTAGAGGGTTATTAGTTACTTTATTTTACAGTACATTTAGGCTTCTTTACAAATTGTACACTTCGTGTAGCCTTGGGGGCCAAGATTTGAACAAATCTGCATGAAAATGGAAAATGTTCTACTACCGATTTCACCAATCATGACCCTTCTGACTTGCTATGTTTTCCCTATACATGTACACGTTTTTCTTTGGCCCTTACTTCAAACTACATGAATTTCTGAAAGTTTGTGCTATAAAGTTGATGTGTACATCTAAAATAATCTTACATCCCTATGAAATTCTCACATGCTTAAGAAACAAAGGGAAGTATCCCCTCACAATTCTACTTCATTTTTTCTCAAACATTGAATTTTATGTTTGCACAACCACTGCCCTTTGCTACCTAGCATATCCACCCCTCATCTCTGTGGCAGGTACCGAGAAAGCAAATGATACATATTATAATTCACGTTTACATTGCATGATTCCTGAATTGTTTCTTCTTTCAGCTACCAAACAACTTTAATTTGTAACATAATACATGTACATAAATGACCTGCCCATGGTCTTGACCTTTTAAAACCTACATTTTCCTCCATCACCTTAGAAGTAAGATTGATCACTTTTAATATCGTATGTACATATCAATGTTCTGCACACATTCAATAAACGGCTCCTCTTTTACAAAGGGATAATACCGAGATATTGTAATACATGTAAGAAACGAATCATGACAACCATGTTTTATTCTGTGTTTCTTTAAAAAATACCCGGGTACCAAGTACCCAAGTTTGACCTTTCTTTAAACATAGCAGACAATACTCTTGATTTCAGAAAGCAATTAGCAAAGACATAAAATACACAACTAGATGTCCATTGTATTTAAAACACTTCATTATTTCCTCAGCAGATGCAATATCTTTCTTGTATTCATTTTGTAATTCAAGTCAAAACTTAATAAGACACATGAGGTAGTACAAAATCTGTAATGAATCAATGTTTTAGCAACATAGTTTACAAGTCTAAGAAATCAGATAAATATCTTCATTATTTTGATTTAAACTTGATATAATGCCAATTGCTAGATAATATATTACAAAATTTTTCTTTCTTCATTTCATATTACAGGAATTTTATTAATATGGGGTCTTGAACATTCGGATTGAGTAAAATATGAAAGTGTACCAGAAGTTCAAATAAATGCATGAAAATATCTGAAAGCAAGATCACAATACCTGTTAAAAGCATCAAATGTCAAAACCATATATCCAGTGAATCAAAACTCAAAGACATGTCTAGTTTCTGACTGCTAATATAAAAGTGGTAGATTGTGTGAAGAGTCATCACTGCTGGATTTTATTTTTTAAAAAAGGGGGGAATTAAATTTTAAGGTTTTGACACACTGAAATTTAAATTGGTAAATTGCAAAAATGCATTATCAACAGTTTTGAAGAAAGCACTTTAAATAACAATATATATTATCTCAAACTGACAAATTATCAACAGATGTATAACAAATAAGATTAATAGTAATTCATGTTGATACAGTGTACATACAAGCACATTGCATCATTAAATTTCAGATTCCTCTTAAAATGTCATCTTAACTTAACCAGCACAGGTCCATCATATGGAATGAAGCACACATTATGACAGACAAACATACTAATCTCCATTCATTCATGTAATAACTTCAGATCAAGAACATAGATATGCTTTCAGAAGGCCAGTGGGAACATAAACGCATTATATTTTCAACATTCAATAAACAAAATCATTAAACACAAATGAGGATAAGAACATCATGGAAAATCATTAATAAATGTCCATTTCTTATTGATTTAATTTATAACCTTATAAATTATAATAAATGTATTTCACTTTTCCTTATAGTTAAATCTTATACTCAAAGTGCTTGAAAATCGATGAAGGTAGCTTGGTATCATATTGATATAAAATATTGCAGCATACATATTTTTACACTACATTGTGCATTTTTAGAATAGGACTGAGACTTATCATAGAAAAAATTTACTTGGGAAAAAAAAATCCATGGAAAGGGGTAAACTGAACGATTTAAGCACTGTATTCATACACATACATGTATTTCTCCTTAATAACACATTTGACATACCCTAACGTTTTAACATCAATAATTCTAGAATATAAATATTTTGCGAAATTAACATACATGTACATAAATTCAACATACAACTTAAATAATGGTAAAATAAAATAATACAACACACTTAGCCACTGGTCAATGAAAGTTGCATTTTCATGAGTGTGAAACATGACTTGCATCTCTTTATATAAGTAATAATTATAAAGAAGACCTGAAATAAATACAGTAAATTCATAGCTGGAAAATTCTGAAGCATTTTTCATCAGCAAGAGGCAGTGTCACAAAATGACGTCCTAGTGAGGCCAGTAATGTAACGTTCACTGAACCACAATCAATATCCCATCTTGCACCACTGGAGCGCGAGTTCGGTCGGTTGTGAAAAATTTGGTTCCTTGAAGAAAATGGACTAATCCTTCAATAGTCATCTAGATCAAAATCATCATCCAGATCATCCAAAACCTGGCCCGATAACACTTGAAAGTCTATCTGATATCGTAATATTCCTGCAAATATATACAAATATGGTTCATTAATATTCTGTTCTAATAACTAATCACATTAAACAGCTAAAATAAATACAGAATTACAAATGGTTTGATTCAGTAAGACGGCATAAGACTTTGCATCAAAATTCATGCACTTAAGAGTTGGAATATACCGTATTCAGGGTTATATTCTTGCAAACAATTTTGCCCCATTTTAAATTCACCCAGTCACAATTCTGTTTAACATATTCTACAGTGTTCTTTGAATTCGCCCCGTTTTAAATTCGCCCAATTGAGAGTAGGGTGAAAATTAAACGGGGGCGAAAATTTCTCAGTATACAGTATTACATTTGATGACAATTTGCAAGAAAAATCTGCCAACTTTATTATCAATAGTAGTACTATGATATGTCTGACCTCCAATTCCACCAAATCCTCGTACAAACTGCGCTCCTTCTTGCGACTTGTCGGTAATGATTTCTAAGGTGGCACCTGTCACAGGAGAAAACATATCAATATTATTATCCATAAAGCAATCTCAGTTCATTAAAATCACAAATGAACCTTATACAAATTGAAAGTACACAAGATTGTCCAAGGATACTCACCAAAATTCTTGTAGTTATTCGCAAACCACTCTAATAAAGGCATCTGCTCTGCCAATTCCAATTCTACACCAGTCTGCAGAAAAATTAATCATATCATTTACCTGCAAATATACACCTACATTTCTGTTTAAAAAAATAGGTGTTATATGATCTCAAAAACTATGCTGATCCTGATTGGAAGAAATTTATTTACAAGTTGGCAGCCAAATTTTTCATCCAGTATTTTTAAATCTTGCCTCTAATTCCATGGTGTATATGTGCTGATTTCACTTTAATAATAATACTGAAGAATTACAACTTCCTCATAATCTGACACAAACAATATTCTTTGTATTACATTAGATTTCTACAATTTGCCTTCACAATTTTGTAACATTTTTAGAAATGATAAATTATTTAGCAGCTTTAAGAATATATGATTAGTTTTAAAGGTAAAGAAAATTAACAACATATTTCAGGTGTATAATACTATCTTATTAATTGCTAATAAACACTTACATCTTTATCTATAAAATGGGTTTTGTCTTTCTCCTGCTCTGGCCGAAGGAAAAGAATATTCTCAACTGCAAAAAATAAAAAAAGTTTTTGTAAATGATTTCTTTGGAGGTGTAGCAATCTTGAATTTTCTACTGAAAACTTTGGAAAAATTGTTTTTGCTTTTATTGCTAAAGAAAATGCATGTAATTTGCACATATTTTCATGGACTCAACACAAAATGAATAAGATGTTACTTCCTTTGAGAAAATATCTCCCTCCCTCTTTCCAACACATATCCCTAGTCATGACTGAATGACATTGGTGACTTAACCTTGATTTAGTACCTTGATATCTTTATGTCATGTGCACCAAAATTAATTGTAGTTTAAATTCAATTTAAAGATGCCTAATACTATGTTATGGCCTACGAGAGACTAGAAAAAACAATTTTATTAACCCAATAACCTTGACACTGCCAACATAACCTAGGTCAGGAGCATAAATCACAGAGTTTTATTTCCTTATATAACTGGTACCAATAAAAGGTACCATTCCCAATGCCACAAAACGTTAATTTTTCCCAATTTTGAGACTAAAAATCCCCCAATTCAACTGCCAAGCAACAGACTACAATGACATCGTATTTCTTTTTATATGAAACATTACACAAGTTGGCAAATAAATTGTTTCACTTCTGCATAAATCGAAAGTAGAGATTAGTCCTAATATGGTGGGACCTGTGGTGTAAACAGTGTAGTGTCATACATTTTGACAAATTGAAAGCATGAAAATGCGAAAACAAGGGACATTGATATGAAAAACAATAAATACTTGTTGTTTATTCTTTAAAACACAGAGTAATAGGTAATGACGTTGGAATAAAAAACAAAATACGTTTCATTTGATTAAATGACAGAAAATTCTCCTCTGTTCTGCTTCTATGCTATTTTTCCCAAATGAACCGGTACCGGACCCTTTCCCAATGAGTAGAAAAAAATTGCTGAATCATGACACACCTTTCAGTCATTGAGAGCTAATGGATAAACTCTGAAATCCTTCCAATCAAAAATTGCTTTCCTGTGGCTAAGATGCTGCTTGCACCAGAGAGAGAGACAGACAAGGATGTCAAAAGTAAAGTTTTTCTCATTCTAAATTGGGGAGCAGCATATCTAGAGTTAAACTGGCCTTTAATCTTACCATCTGTAGCATGGTTCTTCAGCACATATCTTGTGACGTCTAAATTCTCCCAGACAATTAGAATGTCCACAGCTCCCATTTCTAATGCCTTCAGAGTATCATCCACTCCAAAACAGTATTTCCCCGTGTCTTGTGAGATCTCATCAAAGTAACGACCTACAAACAATCATGATTGGCTAAAACTTGAATGATCTTTTTAAGATTTTACTTTTCATATCACCAGTAAATTGTTCTAACAAGTAATTTACAATTCTCCACAATGGGTTCCATACCTATAAGTTTCTTTTCTTGAATGAATTTCACATTTGCGAGGGAATCTGTTGCTAGTTCAATGGCCTGATTAAAACCATTTTCTCCACCATAAGATACATCGACAATCTTGATGATCTTGGCTTGTAATCTCTGTGTGAAGTAACATTATTATATTAAACTTCTCATATACTGTGATTTGAAATCTGAAGCATTTTACATCAACTGCATGGTACAAGTTTATCCTGCAACAGTACCTTATCTTGTATCACTCTCTTACTAAATTATTTGAAAAATTTAAATCCTTGATAGTCAAAAGACCAGAAAAACTTACTGGATCAAACATGTCTGATTGACTGAGTTCTGTTTTGAAATCAGCTGATCCGGCTAATACTAGCCCGGCAATGTTTGGCTTGTCGTTGGTAATGAACAGCTGTACGGCAACTTCGGCAACCTTCCTGACATAGTTGTGACGTTTTTCCATACGTAAACGAGCAAAACGCAGAGCAGACTGACCTCCTCTCCCTGAAATATTGAAAACAGTAATGGAACATTCAAACCTGTTTCTGAAGTCAACGAAGTAAGCAAGCACTCTTTTTTCTCTTATCAAATTGACATTTCCTCCATAAATAATCCATATCATTTTTAATGACTCCATATATTTCCATGAGGGGCTCATCCATGGAACCTGAACTAGATAAAATTTTTACCGTGCTTTTTGGGTAAATCAACTGTGAATTTGTGTAGGACTTCTCTTGTGTTTCCTGATAAAGTTCCAAACAAAGCTCCATTACCATCCATCACAATAAAACCAAATTTGTTGTCATCTGCTAACAAAGCCGTCAATGCCTACAACAGAAAGGAGAAAGTCTGAGGAAAGAAGAACAATAACAAGAAAAAATGTTTTTATCATTATCTATCGAAATATATATGTAAAACAAGGATGTATCTCAAGATGTAATGATGTTTACTGCTGTGTTCATGCAGTGTTTTCAATAAGATTTTCAATAGAAGGAAATATATTTGGAATAGCAGGAAACCAATCTTGGCGAGAGGTCTGGGGGCCGCCTCAAGCCCCCAGCCGGTCCAGGGCAGAGCACTTAAGGGAAGTTACTCTAGATCATGTATATAGTGTATATAAATCTACAGATTTCACATACCAACCCCGGCAAAATCGCAAAGACGGAAATTTCGTAGCCGGCAAAATTTCTTGTACAGGCGGTTAATTTTGCCAGTTGCCAGCTCTTATTGAAAACACTGTCATGTAGCATACTTTTTTACGTAAACAGATAAACTGATTTATAAGTAAAGATAGATATAAATAGGTCTTATTTGCTGCAGACATGCAGTCTGTACAAATTGCAGAGTAACTCTCTCTAAGATGACAAACATGCATATCACCGCATTGTTCACTGACCTCTGTGTGGAATTTGTTATCACATAAATACAGGGATGTGTTAATGGGTCGGAAAGGTTCAAAGTCTATGTTCACTTTCTTCTCCTTGCCTTCATCTGTTACAATGGTACCACAGTATATCACTAATCCATTGGGTGGAACTGAAAAGGAAGAAGTATTCAAATATAACTGGAAGTCAAATTTCAAAGTTTGTCCTTGATGCAACCATTACACTGTTATGTATTCTGGCTTCAATCATACCCCAACCCTTTTCATAACCAGGACTTTGTTCTTAACCCCCCCCCCCCCCAAAATGAAAACAGGACTGTCCCCATAGTTATTGGTTAGGGCTGTCACGGTTCCAAAATTTTTCAGGTTGGGTCGGTTCTGTAAATTTTCGGTTCGGTTCCGGGTTTTTCGGGTCGGGTATTTACAACTATTTTAAACCTTAATTTCATGAATTTAACTTGAAAAATCTTTATTTGTTACATTAAATTTACATTGAAAACAAGTCTTAACCATGCGAACGTCTAGACATCGGTGACTTGGCCTACTATTAGCCACAACCTGACCATTCCTGCTCGTTTTGATAATTATCTAATACTTCCGTGACAAGTGTTTTGTCATGGAATGAAGTAGATTTCAGTTGTGATGTTTATTTATCACTGTTATCGTCATCATTCCTTTGATTTCGTCGCCATTTTTTGTATTGAACAGACTCTAATATATAAACCAGACCCGAACCGAAATCCGGAAAAATGGAACCGGAACCGAACCGAACAACTTGGACCGCGGTTCCCGGTTATTTCGGGTACTCGTGACAGCCCTATTATTGGTTGGATATCTGACTGGTTGACAAACACGTGCGGAGCACTATGTCCACTAGGTCTTTTGAAGAGGGCAGTATAACCATATAATAACATGTGGTTAAGGATAGCTATTCTACATAAAGTCAACAATTAACTTGAAAATAAAGCACTTTTAGATTTTAAAGTAAAAAAAAAAATCAAACAAACAAACAAAAACAAGATATAGTATCTCTTTTCATTGCATGGTGACAGAAAAGAGGTAGACAGGCAGTGGTAGCCCAATTTCAGGGTTGTAATTAGTGGGCCATATGGTCCTTTGTCTACACAATTTTTGTAGGAGCCACATCATTCTCAATTAGACCATTTTTTTTTCAGATGAATGAGAGCAAAATGTTTAAGTATTTCATGCAGTCTCATTATTTTTATCTAATTCATGTCATTTATACTGGTATCACATAAACAATCTAGGGATTTAGCAAGGTATTATGTGTTACTTGTTATAGCACAGAGTGATTCATGGGAAACACCTTTAATGGGAAAGGGAATATTCCCCGTTTCTTAATACACAATGTACTAGATATTCTCAACTGGAGAATACTGCACGAAAGACTAAAAAATTGTAGCTTTTTCATTCACTGAACAAGTACTTATAAATCCTGACATATATGCTATCATTAATAGCCCTTACTTCAACATTCAACAACATTTACTATTTTTGTGAGTCCATCTGCAGGTCTTAAAAGTATAAAATGTAAGTGGAAAAATCATTATTTAGAACCCTGAGATTTTGTGTATTCCGCATCACTTTTAATTGGCACATGCAAGAAGCCAGCTAGTTAAAACTGTCAAACACAGTAAATTCTTAAGTGTTCAGTAAAGTGGTCTGTATTCATAATTATCAGTCAGTTGCTACAGTCTTGCCTATTCGAAGTGGGGTTCGGTTTGGTTCTTCATTTAGTCGATTTCTGCACTGCCTTTACTACGCCTTCATAGAGAAGTTGAGGGGGAGTATTAAAACGAGCCATCATGATCAACTTCTCAATAGTGAATACGCTCTTGCATGTCACTCTAATGAACTTGAAATAATGAATACAACTTAATATCACTAGTTGCTTGAGATTTACAGGTGATAATTTTTAGACCCAAATACTGTACAGGGGTTTTCAAAATACTGGAATTTGGGTGAAAATACTGTACATCGTTCATCAAAAAACTGTACAAAAAAACTGTACAAAATATGGACCTAAAATCAATGTAAGAGGTTCATTTTTAATTAATAAATTTGAAATCAACGAACAAGTGTACCACTGCATGCAGTATTATATGTAATTACTCATTTCAAGAAACTTTTGCAGCTTTTAGAATTCACCACGGTCAATGCTGAATTTAGTAAAATAACTTCCATAGTACATGTACAGTGTTTAATACTGCAAGAGTTTGATAGTCTGCAGTCATCTGCATTTTTTTTAAAAATGATACTAAAAGCATTTCTCTTATTCTGTGTTAGAATGGACAATACTTATGCCTAAGCAGTGCAAAAAAAGTCATGGATTAACTTTCGTGTTGCTGTCACAAAGTTGCTCTGATTCTTGCCATTTTCTCTTTGAAATGTCTTTTATTTTAACAATTACTGTTGAAAACCCCTTCATAAGGATCTTATAAAAAATATTCAGCCTAACAAAAAGCTCTGGTACGTTGTAATTACAATGTAATAATCGCGGGAATGTTTCACACCTTCCATCATGATTGTTTTGTTTACATTAATCAATCGGAGTAGGTCACGCATCAAATGAGATTCTCGATGTTGCAAGAGCAAGAAGTAAAGAAAAATGGCGGTTTCTGGTAAACAATTCAAAATATGGCACATATTTAAATTTCCCGTGAATTTTTGTGTACCACTGCAGTCTTCGACAAATCCCGGGAGTCCGAAGCCCGGGACCTGGTAAAATTGGAAGCGGGCATGTGGAAATTGCATACTTACATGCCCGAAGGGCATGTAAATTCTGAGGCCTAAGCCTCCGTATTATCAACTTAAATAATACCAATAACATTAAATGTACTTGAAAGTCTGATTTTTCATCTAAAGTGGAGCACCAAATAAAATATTAACGATAGTTTATTCTACCGCGATTTCCAAAGAACTCTTTTGCAAAGGAGACACAAGAAGTATACACATTGAAAACAATACGTGACTTCCAAGGAACTCTTTTGCAAAGGAGACACAAAAAGTGTACAGGTTGAAAACAATATTAATGGCGAGACAATAGATCTATAGAAATGGATTTCGGATCATTTCCTTGGCATGAAAAGGCAAATAAGAATAAAATTACTTGATAAAATTCTGGGCATGTAAATATTTGTTCGGGCTAGCGTAATAAGTGGTTAAACCTGCCCGAAGGGCATGTACTGAAAAAAAGATTTGGCGAAGACTGTCGCTGTGAGCCCGTGAATAGGGTTAAAAATATGTGACATTTTATGTACAGTGGGAACATATCACATGTATGTTGATATTTTCTTGTCTCTATTTTTTTTAATGTTTGTTTTATCTAAAGCAACGTTTTATCATGTTTATATCCCTTTCTTCTTTACCTTTGTTGTACAGCTTTAACCTCTGTTGTACAGATGTAATAGCTCCCAGCACTGACAAACGGTTTACACGACTCTTGATATTTGATGCTGTTCCAAATTCATCGGCCAACATTTTGGCAATTCGGGAGATTTGATCCTTTGGTGGAATGATTAATGATATCATACTCGTACCATTTCTGTAAAATAAATATTGCAACATTTAAATATGTTTCTATATTAACAAAAGAATCAATTCTGACTTTTGATCGATATACATTAGAAATATTGAAGAAGTTTAATTAGTAATAATCACAAGAAGATATTCATTGCCAAGTTGCCGAGTCAAAGTGAAAAATTCTCAGTATTTCAGAGTGACTCTGACTCAATTTAATTCATTCATATCTTACATTCATAATTTTTCTCTCAATTTAAAACAATATAGAACAAATTTTAAATGAAAAATATGTCGTATTTTCCGTTTTAAAGAAAATATCTGTCAAACAGGTCAAAATTTTAAAAAATTAAGACCATTAAATGCCATTTTGCCTAACTTTCAGTCGATTGTTAAGATCTTCGTCGAGAGATAAGAATGAGTGATCAACTTACCCTCTCGCAGCTTCTAAACTCTTTATAAGCTTCTTAATCTTCCATATTTCTACATTTCGATCAGCACTGCTTTCTCCGTCTACACCATTCGATGCCATGTTTGTGACACTCTACTAACAGATTAGCAATTTACCGTATGGCGGGAATAAATCGTAACCCGCCTGCTTAAAAAGCAGTTACTGGATACCAGAAAATTATTGAAGACTTCTTGATTCGCGATTTTTTCTTTCTGATGTCCAAATGATTCAATTTTACGCTTCCTTTTTGTTTTCTTATGTGGTGAAATGCCAACGACCACACTTCGCCATTGACCATGTGAGGTGTATGTGACGTCATCATCATTGCACCAAAAAATCTTTGTTATTTGATTGGATAGATTTCCATAATAATTTTAAAAAATAATTTCTTTAATGATTTCTGTCTTTTTAATTGACAGAAAATATAAATTTCATTAATATTTTTAGAAAACGACAACATTTTATTAATTCTTGTTCCATATTGTGCGGATCCTAATGTCAAAGTTCACAATGGCTGCCCCCATGGTTTGCCCACCCAAATGGCCAAGCACTGACATAGATGACAAAACATGGTGATGACAGCACATGATATTACTCGAAAATGACATAGGTTTGTTTTGTTTAAAGGTTTTTTATATATTCAGGTACAAACAAAAGATAAATACTTACATTTACCAACTAATTAAGATGAAGATTGACTTTGATTCAACACTGTGACAGCTACAGAGTGCAGAACAAGAGGTCTGTGATCCACAATAATCACCCTAGTTATATCTCTATCATTCTTTCACCCGGGCATAGTAACATTTGAATTTTTAAAAAAAAATTTATTTATTTATTTTAAATTATTTTTTTTTTAGTTTGACTTTCTACATACCTTTGCTGTTTTGTAGAATTGTGTTTTTTGTTTTTGTTTTTTTTTTTAAGAAATAAATTCATAAATGTGTGACAGATAAGGGGGTTAGGAAATAGTATTTAAGTTCCTGAGCAGAGGAGCATAATTTAATTTAGAATAAGAGTACAGGAAGGTAGGGGTATGTGCATAGGAGTTAGCAGTTTTATTAGTAAAGCATTGTAGACAACAACCAGTGAGCTTTACTAGTGAAATGATATCACAGGTATTCTCTTTAAGGCAAAATTGCCTCTGTAATGTATGCAGCTACTTACACAGGAGTCAACCTCTTTGAGATATAAATGCATGCAGCTACTTACAGATGTACATTAACATGTACTTGAATGGTCAATGACATTTTAATACATTGTACATGCTATAACAGACAGTGTTTTACCCTGAATTCTTTTCAGACACATAAAATCTTACCTGAACCATATAAATTCACTTTTTTTTAACTAGGCTTGTTATGGTTGTCATGTGAGTATACCAATTATCGTATGTATGTAACAGACAAGTACTAACAGATCAATATGATCTTCACCTTTGAATTATTTCAAAGGAGAGATCTATGTTGTAGTGTTTAAAAAGGCAACATTTGTAATAATTGTGTTACTTACAACCTTGGACTTATGTTCAAATCAAATATTTAAAAAATTAAATAAAATTTATGATTTATAGGTTATATTTTGTCAAACAATGCTGGATGTCTGTATTGCTGTCCTTTGTGGTATTCCTGGGAGTGGAAAATCAACTTTTGCCAAAACCTTGATAAGGAATAAAAAAGATAACATAGCAGGGACTGGTCAAGAACAAGAGAAAAATTCAGAGTCCTTTAATTGGATGTTGGTGTCATATGATGATATCATTCCTTCTGACACCGAGAAACATATAATTGAAAAAGAGGTATAAAAAAACAACAATGTGCATTTTAGCTAATTTTTATTCAGTGTTAATTGTTCATTTAATTTCAACAAATTTTCATTGTAGGTGCCAAATGCTTGGAAGCTATACAGGGAAAATATTCAAAATGCTGTTGTATACCTTATACAAAGACTACAATCAGATTCAGAGTTCACAGAGCCAATGGAAGATAGAAGTGACTGCTGTTTTGAAAGTTTTAGAACATTTATGCAAAGAATGGTTGGCAAGAAAAACGGTACTGTAGTGATACTTATTGATGACAATATGTATTATAGCAGTATGAGATACAAGTATTATCAGCTGACTAGGAAATGTAAGTTTTGAAACTGTTCTCTGTAACAGAATTTTCCTCAGACTTTTGCAGAAATATGTAACATTAATTTATTCCAAAAGTAAAGAAAGAAATTGAATCATAAAAATGATTTTTTTTTTTTTTTTTTTTTGCAGACAACATTGGATTTTGTCAGGTACACATCGAATGTGACACGGATTTGTCATTGGTCAGAAATAGGCAACGTCCCTCTGGACAAGTCCCAGAGGATATTATTCTCAATATGGCAGCCAGATTTGAAGCCCCCAATCCAGAACAAAGTAGCTGGGAGAAGTACTCAATCAAAATAAACACTAATGCAAGTCCAGAGGCACTGGAAAAGTAAGTATTATAGTCATCTTATAGCCCAGACATCTTTTTTATGCCCCTCCCATCCTGCTTTCATTTCTAAACCATTAAGTTAGAGAAGGCCAGATTAGGATGTTTATATGTGCATCAAGAGTTGTTATTACAAATAACTCAGCTAGAATTGCTCTTGAGGTCATAAAGAGCTTGACTGAAATTGCTTTTCTGGCCAAAGGGTATGGATTTCCTTGTTTTAAAAAAAAACAATTACTGGTTCATTTTAAACTTGAAAATGGTTTAGATCTGGACATTCCAATTTGTACCTTAATTGTTTGAGGAAAACAAAACTTAGCTGGGATTGCTTTGATTCTTGTAATTGGCTGAAAGGGCCTTCCTTCTATACCTGAAATAGGTATTAATATTCTTATAGCAAGAAACAAAGTAGAATGTCTATGTAACTAAATTGATTGAAATGCAGGTTTGATGCATTATACCAAATTCCATTGGCAAGATTTTCCCCCCTTGAATATTAACTGTATTTGATACACCTCATGCAGCCTTGTATGTCTCCAAAGAGGTCCTTTATCCAAGGGATTATGAACTATGACTACTTGTAGCTGCAGGCCCCTAGGAAGCAATTTCATTTTTTGGGGGGGTGGGGGGACAAAGAAATTCAGGGGGGGGCACAAAATTTCTTGACAAGCAAAAAAAAGGGAGAGGGAGGGGAGGGTCATCAGGTGTTATTATTGAGGCACAACCATAATTTAGCTTCATATCCAGACGTATAGTATAAACTGGCATTTTTTTGGGGGGGTGGGGACCTAAGAAATTTAGTTTGGGGGGCAACTTTACAAAAAAAAAACAATTCTTGACAAGCAAAAAAAAAGAAGGGTGTCATCAGGTGTTGTTATTGAGTGGGTACAAACATAAGTTATTGGGAAGGGCATCCCCCTCCCATACCCCCAGGATCCTATGAGCCAGTATGGAGTTGTTGCCTGTTCCTTTTTCTTGAACATTAGGATCTCTAGCTCGGTACATGTATAACAAGAATTTTTTTCAAAATGTTAATGGTACAAATAAACGTGTTCTGTAATATTTCAGTTCCGCAATCCAAGTATTGGAGCTTATATCAAAGGCTTTGTCAGATCCATCAATGCCCATAATGGAGGAACTGGATCAAACTTCTAAAGAGGTGGACAGACAAATCTGCAGTGAGAATATCATACACCAAGCTGATATTGTTATGAGAAAACTGATAGCCGAGTACATGAGTCAAGCCAAGGGTAGGTCTCCTAATTCATTTTCAACAATAATTTATTTTCAAACATCTTTAGATGCTTCAGTGTTTTATTATTGACAATCCTCATGTTTGTGTTAATTAAATTGTATACTTTCAACTTTTTCCCATAATCATTGTGCACTGATAGAGCCACTTGATCCTTCACATTGTCTCCATTGCTTTGTCAACCTGTCTAATTCTTTGTTGCCCCTGCTCCCTTGTATGTTACCCCCACTCTCTTGATTTGTTGTTTCCACTTCCTTCTATTGTTACCACAACCCCCTTGCTTTGTTGTTCTACTTCCTTGTTTTGTTGCCCCCCCCCCCCTTGTCCCTTGCTCTTTGCTCCCCCCCCCCCACTTTGTTGCCCTTGCTTCATTGTTTTGTTGCCTTCATACCCTTGCTTGTTGCTCTCACTATCTTGCTTTGTTGCCCCCAGTCCCTTCCTTTGTAGCCCCAAAACACTTCTTTGTTGTTCTTACAGCCTTGCTCCCTTGCTTTGTTATCCTTGCAGTCTTGCTCTCTTCCATATAGCAAGGAAGCAAGGGGATCTTTTGTCATACCAGTAAACCATTACCTGGTATTTAAACATATTTTTTATGTTTCAGGTCAAAATACAGACAGAAATCATATGAAATCTTTATCAGCCTGTTTAAGTTGCTGTAAATCAGACATTCTACAGGAGCTGAAGAGAGGAATGGTGTATTTAAGTTCTGATGAAGAGTTACTCGGCAAACTAAGGGACATTTTTCATGAAAAGCTTGGTGCTTATGGTTTTGGTTGATATGTACACCTCTACATATGTATTATGGTACAGACATAGTGGAATGCTGTGCAGTTCCTAACAAAAAATGCCCAAGAGTGACTTACCTTATGCCTATGGTAAAACAAGACTTATGTTGTTTTATTGACATGTCTGGCATGATCATTTAATTTTTTTTTTCAATCAAAACAAATGTTTCAAAAACTACACAAAAACATGTATTTGCAAAAGCTTTATTGTTGAATAAAGTACATGTAGATTAAACACACGAGAAAAAACAGTTCATTTTTTTGTTTAGAAACAGATAGAAGTTCTCCAATGCAAGGAAAGAGGATAGTGTCTGTTAAAAAAAAAAAAATCATTTCATTGAAAATATAAATCATTTAAGGACAATGAAGAAATCAACATTATGTAGATTTGATTTATTCCTTACATTGGTGTAAAGTTTCCATTTCATCCATAAATTGTATTGTTTGTTTAATAATCATCTAAATCCAGATCAAAGTCAAGATCCGAGAGGTCATCAGAGCTCTGGAACTCCATCTTGTATCTCAGCAATCCTGTAAATACAATGAAATTCTCTATATAATACAAAGCTATAAGCTTCACTGACTCTCAAGTTGATGAAACAAGAATATCAATAGACAGTCTTGAAGTTCTATGGTGAGGTCTATACAATGACCTTGTCAGCAAATACAATCTGTCATCAAGTCGAATGCTGAATAACATTTTTCATACTAATTGTTAGGTCATTATTTAGACACTAAATTGTCTACAGATTTTTTCTGTTTTCCCGATCATAACAAGGAGCACATTGTGGGTGTGACAGGTCAACAGGGGATGCTTACTCCTCCATGGCACCTGATCCCACCTCTGATGTTTTAGAGGTCTGTGTTTGCTTTACACCTGATTTGTATTGTTTTATGGACTTTTCAGGATGATTACTGTTTGCTTTCTTCATAATTCATTGGATAATAATTACATGTATTCCTTTATAAAACTGTCTTGCTTTCAGGCTGTTTCTATCCAATTTTTCCTAGCAGCGTTTGCTGGAAATTGCATTTTAATTATAAATTTGATTTCTTTTGGAAAATCATAAGTGTTAAAGCTGAATTTGAAATGAGTTAACTGAAGGATGTAGAACCCTAGACATTTGGAATAGGGAGTGGGATTGCAAAAAATTCTGTATAGCGACAATTTACATAATACTAAGTATAGGCATGTTTGGATGCTAGGATGCCGTTTTTTTTTTTTTTTTTACCATTCTCAACATTTTTTTCCACATCCTGTGAATTTAATTTGAAAGTTTGAACAAATAAATGAATAATTTCTGGAATTTATAATTATGTACCTAAATACAGGTATTTTAGTCTCCATATCATTATATATCATGCAATTAAAAATCACGATTTATTACATTTTCAACAGTGAAATACTGTGATTTATTTATTGAATAAAAGTGATATTCTCTCACAGTGTGAAAGGATACCAAAATGATATTCTCTCACAGTGTGAAAGGATATCAAAGTAAGTAAGAAATAACTTCTGGCCTGTCATAAGATAGAGATAGTAACTAAGCATCTTGATAGAGCTAAAACTGCAAATTTCTTTCCAAGTATGTTGTTAAAATCCATGCTATGTAATGTTTTCAATCTCACAACTGCTAAGCTATGATGTCTCAACCGCTCAACTATGACGTCAAGTCTATGACACTGTGTTAAGAAAAGACAGAGGCAAAGGGAAAATCAAAGAAAATGTAATAAACAGAAAATTCAATGTTTTGTAGATGAATATGGAATTTTTTTCACGAGTGGGACAGGATTTTTTGATATTTTCACAAGTGCGAAGCACTATATACCGTTATACCGATAAAATTGCACATCCCTAATTGGGAAAATGTGTACATGTTGATCATACTTAAACTGATGGTGTGACATAATTTATTTAGTTTTATACATGTATTTGTGCTATTTCAAGAAGTATTATACATTCAAGGTCTTTTGACAGTCAGCAAAAGAATTGATAAATTCAAATCCTAAGTACTGCAAAGCAAAACTGTTATTATTAAATGTGCAACTGTATGTGTAGATCCCAAATGTCATACTGCATAGCAGTTAAGAAACTCACTTTAAATTCAAAAGGCAACAGTCACTTATCAAGTACATGTATATAAAACTTTCTTACCTCCAATGCCACCAAATCCACGAACAAACTGGGCACCTTCTGGGGTTTTGTCTGTCATAATTTCAAGATGAGAACCTATTGTAAAAGATGTGGGGTTTTTTTTTATCATTAATCACCCTAATTTTCTAAGATTTAATGCATTTTTATATTAATGTGACACAAATTATACAAAAAATAGAAGAGGAATCATTATTTATTATCATTAAGGGATCAGTTTCTCTCTAAATGTCCTGGTTCAAGTCTAATTGCTCATTATTAGGATGTGTAGATTGCTAGGTAATGAGGAGTAAGAAAGCATCTGAAGATTGCATTAAATTTAAAAGTATGAACCCCAACCCACCCCCATGCCTCAAGTGCCATTGGAATCATTAAATTCATCATTTTGTCTTCATCAAAGTACATGTGCATACATGTGTATTTACATAAATATCAACAATGGTTCAAATTTAGCTCAGGTGTTTTAGAAAGTAAAATTTTATGTTTTGTGGAAAACACCTCTGTAATTTTTTTTTTAAAAATAACATATTTTTAATGACATCTTTGTCATTATTATAATACAGATAACATATATGTATTTAAAAAAAGTGATAAAATCTAATTACATGTATAACTAGATATCATTGAGATGGTGGCCATCTCAAAGGGCCCCGCTTTCAGCAACGAACATGAAAAAGTAAAGTAGCTGAAAAGGGTTTATTTTGAAGAGGAACACTTGTGTACTAATAAAGGATGTGTTGTTTGAGTCTAAAGGGCTTCTATGTCATCCTTGTTATAATGAAAAATGGCATGAAAATCATGAGTGCTCCATACCCTCTATCAAAAAGCGGCACAAAAATCACAAATGTTGCATATCCTCTATGAAAACTGTTGCATATACATCAAAATATGGAAGGAAAATCACACATGTTCTGTACCCTAAGTCAATTGGTAAAGTTTGAGGCTGACTGGACTTAAAGAGAAAGAAACCATGCACCGAACAAAGATTTTAAACAGAGACGCTATTTTTGACCTTGACCCTTGACCTAGAAACTTCGTTCAAGGTCACAGCACATCCATTGACCAGTGGCACTCTGTGAGTGAAGTATGAGCCACATTGGACCAAGAGGAGAGAAGATATGCTCCGGACAAGGATTTTTCATATAATTCTGCTATGACCTTGACCTTAGACCTAGAAACAGGGTTCAAGATCACTGCACACCCTTTACCCAAAGACACTCAGTGGGTGAAGTATGAGCCAGATTGGGGCAAGGAGAGAGAAGATATGCTCCGGACAAGAGATCTCGGACGGACAGACGGATGGACGGACAGACTGATCACTATAGGGCGCCCGCAGAGCGGGGCCCTAATAAAACACGTACCAAATGATTTATAGTTGTTGACAAGCCATTCTACCAATAACATCTCCTCTACTATTTCTAATTCAACACCAGTCTACAAAACAAAATTTGTTTTTCAAATATACTGTTCAACATTTGATTTAAAATGGACAGAAAATGGCTGTAAATTTATTTATATAAAGAATGTGCTACCTCTCCATCAATGAAAAATGTCCTGTCCTTCTGTTGCTCTGGTTTCAATAACAGGGTAGTTTTACCTGTGAAATAAAGATTAGGTTCATAAACCCTCTGCTCACTCATATAAATGTTTCTTTAACTCTTATGATTTTCCAAAAGAAATGTATTTTTTAAGTAAAATACAAACAATTATAGGAAAGCTTGCGGGGCAAAATTGGACAAAAAAGACACTTCAACTTGACAAGATTATAAAGGAATAATAGACATTTATGTCATTAAGAGTTATCTCTCTTATCAGAGTATCGATGAACCTTAAATATGATATAGTAGTTGGAAAAATGATTTTCTAAAGATACAGTATTTCCATTGTTGGAAACCCACAGTCATTCTCGCTTCAGAGAAGCCAGACCAACTATGGGTTTCCCAAAATGCTTCATTTCATGAAAATCGATCTTGTTTGACTCTAGTACATACTGTTATCTTTGTGATCAGACATGACGTAGCGAGTGATGTCTAGATTTTCCCACACCATCAATGTGTCCACTGCTCCAGCTTCCAGAGCAGTCAGTGTGTCATCTACTCCAAAGCAGTACTTCCCTGTGTTCTGAGCAATCTCCTCAAAGTAGTGGTCTGTAATATAGATTATGACATCTGCCATAAACAGTTACACAAAGAAATTACTAGACCCTGTAAATTTCAAAATTTAGTAGTGGGAGTAATTAATATGTAAAAAAGAAGAATGTTTTTTTTTTTATTTTCCCTCCATAACCAATGTCTGTATGTATATTCAACATCAAGGAAACATTATGCTGGGCTGATAGAAATATGCACCCCTCCGCCCCCACCCCCACCCCCTTAAGCTACAGTGTGTAAACAGTTTTTCCTACTGATCAGAATAAGTATCCACATATATGGTACATGTACTCCTATTTGTTCACACCCCATAATCATACTGCAAGTAAACTTGTTTTATATGTGCATTTATCACATGTTGGAATTGCTATTGAACCAAATAGTGTGGAGTACAATTTGAAATGCTATTTTGAACATCAACCCTGTAGTTGGTAGTTAGTATATACCTAGTAGATTTTTCTCTCGGATGAACTTAATGTTCCCTAGCACATCTGCTGATAGATTTACGGCCTCGTTAAATCCACTCTCCCCTCCGTAGTTAATGTCTACTACCTTAATGATTGCTCTTTGTAATCTCTGGAAAAAAAATGCAATTAGTAATATACAGATAATTAATTTGGCTTGACATTTCTGCGATGTTCATTCCAATACTCATGTACGTGTACTAGTATTAACATCTATTAAGAGGAAAAATATTTTTCAGGCAAACTTCCAAATGACGTAATACATGTATATTCAGTATATCTATTGAATAAAATAATGTAAATTTTCTGTTGTTTAAAATTTCATAGATGATTATGATATTAGATGCCAAATACTAAAATAGTCATGCAGAAGTTATAGAATTGAAATTACTGGATCCAGGAGGTCAGTTTGGCTGAGCTCGACTTTGAAATGGGCAGACCCAGCCAGTATAAGACCAGAGGTGTTGGGTTTGTCATCAGTGATGAACAGTTTGACTGCAGTCTCTGCGACCTTTCTCACAAAATTATGTCTCTTCTCCATTCTTATTCTTCCCATTCGGGCAGCTACTGACCCCCCCTTCCTAAAATCAAAGAAAATTTTACATTATCTCTATGAGAAATGCACACTAAAAATCAGACTCTTAATCGATGCTGAAATTTAATTGATGTCAGTCCTTTTTTTCAGTATTTGAAATACTATTAAAAAACCTACATAGTATGTCTCCAAATCTTTTCAAAAATTTCAGTAACATCTAAAGAAAGGTCATTATAACAATTATAATAAATCAGTAAGATTTTGGGGAAAATTTATTAAAAATAAGTGGATGCTGAAATTTTATTTCATTTTTTTTTTCAAAACAAGAAATGGTTCATCGTAATGCAGAAAAAGAAAACCCTAAGGAAAACATGTCAGGTTTATGTGCATGCAGGACCTGCACATAAACCTAAACGTTTTCTTTTTATTAATCTTCGATAATCCTAGTGCTTCTTGTGATATGAGTATCCGCTAAATCTACTATTATCAGACATCAAAAAACATCCCCTACCATGCTTAGGTGGTAGTTCCACGGAAAATTTTTGTAGAATTTCTTTGTGATCACCACAGAGGGTTGCAAACAGAGCACCTTTCCCGTCCATTATGATGAAGCCATATTTGCTGTCGTCGGTTAGTCACGCCCTTAACAGCTAAAACAAAAAATACAGTATATTTCAACACTTAATAAATAGGTCATATACATGTGTATTAAAATAATTGAAATTAATAAAATTTAAAAAAAATTACTAGTTTAAACTAGACAGGAAGCTAGAGAATTTAGTGTCTTGTGACATCTCAAAAATTTGAATGAAAATCAACAGAATAGCGAGATATATCTTCAGTATACAGAAAATATAAAATGCATACCTCAGTGTGAAATTTGTTGTCACAAAGATAGAGGGAGCGATTGATTGGACGATAGGCCTCAAAGTCAAAGTTCACCAGTTTTTCCTTTCCATCATCTGTTATAATTGTTCCACAAAAAATCACAAGTCCATTCTTTGGAACTATAAGTTGGTAAAATAAAACAACAATTAAATAAACACTTCATTCTTATGTAAATAATATAATCATTTACATAAATCAATTGATTTTAACAAACACAATACAGCACCACATCAGGGCCACAGGGCTATAATTTCTCACACACATTTTTACCAGTTTGATAATCCAGCTAAAAATCTAGCCATACAATTACCATCACACAATTGATTAATCATTCATTAAGTAAAATTTGATCTGCTTCATATAATGTTTTAAAGCTTTAGATTTTTTTTACTTTGTATTTACTATCTTTATTAACTTTAGTCTAACATAAATTTAAATGTTACTTTACGAGATCTTTGCTATTTAACCAGTATTTACCTGTTTATCAAACTATTTTACCTGCTTTATAGAGTTTCAGCCTCTGCTGTACAGATGATATAGCACTCTGCACTGACTGGCGATTCACCCTGCTCTTGATTCGTGAAGCTGTTCCCATTTCTTCTGTTAACATTTTGTTGACAATTGAGAGTTGTCCATTCTGAGGTATTATCAGAGATATCATGCTTGTTCCATTTCTACAGACAAATATGTAGAAAGTAAGTATATATATCTAGTATATTATTATATAAGTGCATCCTTTTATCATTGGAAACATCTTGGGATGCAAGAAAAGTCTGAGAAAGTACCGGTTGACACATAATTGCATTCGAGACAATGTACCAAGTTTTAAAGAGAAGAAAATGAAAATATCATGTTTTAGTTTAATCAACATAAACAGGTTGGGACCAATCGCCCAAATGGGATATAATAGACCGTTTGGGATATAATATCCCAAATGGGATATAAAATTACAGTGCAAAAAATGAAAATTTTTATTTTGGCTGTAAATATCATAAATCCGCATCAAGATACTTATAAAGGAATAACTTTTGGTTAACAAGTTTGTCTGTATGCCCACTGTTTAAGAGATTGATCCCTCGGAAGTTCCTAAACTTCTTGGGGATCAACCTAACAAACTGTAGGGTTGCAGAAAAACTTGCTTGCTAAAAGTTATTCCGTTTTAAGTATTTTGATGCGGATTTATGATATTTATAGCCAAAATAATTTTTTAAATTTTTTGCACTGTAAATTTATGTCCCATTTGGGATATTATATCGCAGATGGGTTATTATATCCCATTTGGGCGATTGGTCCCAACCTGATGAAATGGTCACTGTACACAAATATACATAATTATTTTCTAAAGCTATTCCCAGAGCAGCAGGGAACCTATGCATCTTCAACTTGTATGTTATGACGTTTATTATACAGCTTATAAGTATTCTATAATAAAAATCGGGATGCATCTTACCCTCTTGCATTATCCAAGCTCTGAATAAGTTTTTTCACTCTCCATAGTTCAACATCCGATTCGGAGTTTGCGAAGGCAAACCCATTCTTAGCCTCTGCCATTTTTGACAGTTGTATAGCCCTGGTGATTCAATTACTTGCCACTTAACTGTTAATGATTTTATCTTTATCTGTCGTAAATAAATACAGAACAGTTTGCACCACATTGTGCAAGATGTTGAGCAATAAACCCTCCGTCACAGTTACATAAAAGCTTATACGTCATTAGACGAGTACACGTATTCATAAACGTTTTCATGAATTGACTGCACGAGGAAATCTTAACCGGGCGTAAAATATTCGTATTCGGAAAGAATATTTTAGGTACAAGTTATTGAAGTTGCTAAAGAAGCCAGGGTTTATGAGGATACAACTTTTCTGTTTTAGATGCAAATTAAATGGACTTTATTCCCCAAATCTGGTGATGTAAGAGCCCTGTTGGCTAAGACTCCGTAAAAAGAAAGGAAATTCAAGCCAATAAAGGTGTGTAATATAGCAATATCAAGTATGTTCATGATTATCAAGATTGTTTTCATTTTGACAAAGCCAAATGATTATTGGGACTTACCTACTAATCTGTAAGAATATGTATGATAAATAAAGATACAATATACACTGAAGTTTAGATTGTCAGACGTTTTTAGATCATGGCAAATAATATCCAGACTGCTCCAGAAATAGACACGGCAAATCCAGATGGTAACGCAGAAGAAGACCTGAAGAAAATTCTTGAGGGTCAGCATGTTCCAGTCACTGACATAACGGTGGGATTGGACAGGATAGGTACAACTTTATCCTACAAATAAATGAATTAGAGATAATCAGTTTATTTTTTATTCTGAATCAGTGAGAATACAGTTTGATAAAGTTAAATTTTGGGCCAAAGTTTAACTTTATTAAACTGTATTCTCACTGATTCAGAAGAAAAAATAAACTGATTATTTCTAAGTTTGGCAAAAGATTCAATGAATTGTACCACCAACTCGGCTATCTGCTAACTGTAGACTTATTTAATAATGCTGGGGAAAAATTGTTATTTTTTATTGAAAACAATTTTCTGTGAATTAAATTTTTTTTAATTAGATTTTAAAACAGTCCACTTAGCTTAAAACTAAATTATATTAATAATAATTTCTTCAATAAACATCTGTCATCACCACCTGTTTATATTCCAAACAATGTCAGTAGCACTGTAGCAAAGAAAGTAGCATACATTTTATGTTTATATAGCTAAAATAATTGGTTGCATAATCAAGCATATAAGTCATGTACTAAATAATTTGAGCAGAGAAGTGCATCATATATAATCTGAAATCAAATTCTCAGGTGGCATATTCAATGGAGCATAACTACTTTAATCCTATCGGTGGTCTACTGAGGGTGAAATTCACAAGATAATCAAGCAACAATGTGTATACAAGGAGTATTTGGGATTTCTGCATATAATCCAGGTTTTATAGTTGTGAAAACTGAAGCATTCATGGTTATATTTTGGTAGCTTGAGTTGGGCATGTGAAATCGTACCATTAACCATCCTTTTAGTCTTAACATTGGTAAACACTATTCATGCGTGATCATGATCTGCTGATTGACATGAGTTGATATCAAAGTCGATATCGTAAAATGTTTTAGAAGTTACCTTTTATTTTATAATTTTTTAATTATTTTATAGCAAATGTATTTTATATGCACTGGTATATTTTTGTAAAATGAATGATAAAAAGAATTTGCACATTATAACAGTTTCATACTTACACAAATGAAGTGTAATGGTGATGGTACTGATTAAGTGTTTGGTTTGAAAATGGATTACAGACAACGCAAACGTATATATCTAACTTTAAATTCTCAATTTCTGAAATAAAATAATTTATGTTGGATTTAATTTCGTTGTTTTCTCTCAAGCATGAAAAATAACAAAATTTAATCCAAAATGAAATTAAATATGTCTACAGTATTCAAAGTGTGTGTGCAAGTAATTTTTTTGTCATTATTGTTTTTCAGGCAATTTTGTACCAAAAACTAAAAAGACTGTGTATTATATTGTGGGAGCAGTCATTATTAATGATGCAGGCCAGGTGTTGATGATACAGGAGGCTAAGTATTCATGTTACGGACAATGGTACCTCCCATGTGGAAGAGTGGAAAAAGAAGAGAGCCTTGTGGTATGTGAAGACTGTTTGATGAATGAAAAATCTCTCTTTTTTTATACATGTACCCCCCACTTGAAAAGTGGGGGTATATAGTGATGGGAGTATCCCTCCATACATCCATAACACCTGAGGGTAGCCATCCTTTAATTAAAAAAATAATCTTCCCACTCTAGAAATAAATTCCATATCCAACTGCAAAACATTGAATATTCTCTATGTCTTTTGATCTGGCCTTTTTCCTTTTTAATTGGCTTCAGAAATTATGATCTCAGCATCTTGATCTTGCTTATGAAATCAATACATGCTTGTATATGTTTTTCCTGAAAAGTTAGTTTTATTCTTTTCTCATATTTTTTTTAACAGAAAATGCTTTTAAGCATATCATATTTTAATACATACAAGTCATACATATGAAAAATCCAGAATATTTTTGACAATTAACTAATAACAAACATGAGAAAGCATTTGGAAATTTAAAAGAAAGCTCTGAAAGTATACCCATCAACTTTATTTTGACATTTCTTTTTTAATTCTGTCTCAATATACTCAATTTTTAGGGCCAAGCATTTTTGTAAAGTAATAAATGTAGTTCTTTGAATATTAAGCAATTAACCTTGTAATCATTATCAACAGGAGGCATGTAAAAGGGAGGTGGAAGAGGAGGCGGGGCTGACCTTTGAACCCACAACTCTATTATGTGTAGAGTATGGCTCAGGATACTGGTATCGACTGATATTTACTGGGCATGTCACAGGTATTTTATGAAATATATAATTTTTTTCTGAATCTTTCAATTGAATTCATCTATGGCCACAAGAGAGATGTGCATTTAAAATTTCTACAAGTAGAATTTGCATACACCTTGCTTCACCATATGATAGGTTCATGTTTAAAATCAATAACTTTAACAGGAGGAAAACTGAAGACACTGGAGAGAAAAGATAAGGAATCATTACAGGCAGAGTGGATAGATCCAGTACACTTACACAATAAAACCCTCCCTATCAGGTACTTGAATCCTCATTTACAATCATGGAAATAAATAATTACATGTAGTTTACTTGATTGATCAATCAATTTATCCCACATAGTTGAAAAAAGCAGAAGTGGTTGAAAATATTTCTTTAATTAACATGCATATATGGAGCTGAATTTCTCACACATCAATTTCTCAAAAAATTATGGATACATGTATGTGGAAGTAATTTAGAAGTCCTAACCACTTTTTTTTATGTATTTTAACTTCAATTTCTCAAATCCTAGGATATTTCAAAGGTTTTTCCCCAGCCCAATCAAGTTAGATTTAACAAAGCTTGACTGCATATAGTATTACATTCAGACTAAAGTTATCATGAAATTTGAATCGACTTTTTCCAAATGATTTTAATTTTTTTCATAAATACATGTATGGTAATAAGTATTTACAATAAAAGAACCTTTTTACATTTAATCTTTTTTTTTTAATATTTTATTTTTAGGGCAAAAGACATCATGCCCCTTATTCGGCTTGCTTACAAGCACTGGGAGAAAACAGCAGCACAGAGACCCAAACCTTTACTTCCTCTATCCTACAAACATAAACACATCATTAACAGACCACTGTTAATACAGAAATTCTCTGACAAGTAAGTTTTGCAATGAGATTGACATCCACAGTACTTAATTAAAATAAGGTCCTTTGTTCTGCTCACCTACAATCTCTCATAGGTGAGCTGATCTAAGGATCTAATTTTATTAGATTGCCAAAATACTATTATAAATATTTAGTAAGTATTATGTTGTAGAATACAAAATATTGCCAGGACGCAGACTGTAACCTTTGTGTATAATGAGAGAGAAAATGAGCAATCTTGTAAATTGTAAATCTCCCCCTTAGCATCCTATAGGAGGAGTGAGTGGGTTTCACTTATTCATCCTTCTTTGAATTTTACTATCATATTTATCATACAGATACAGTTACTACCATCATTGTGGTGATTTTTACCTGTATATTACCTGGTTATTTTTTTTTTTAGTGAGATCTATGTGTTGGTGAATTCAAAGGGTGGATCACAATTCCCGTGTGGTGTAGATTTCAGTAGAACACCATCTGCACTTTTAACAACCATATTTATTCTCAAGGTAAATGTTGAAGACTTGTAAAGTTCATGACATAGATTAGTAAATACTGTTGCAGAAATTGTTGTATTATATACATCTAATATGTTTACGGGGTTTATGCATATAATTTAAAGGAACATAGGCAATTATGTAAAGACGCCTATTATTTTATAATATTTGAAAGATGCAAATATGAACATTCTGAAGTGACCTGTCGGTGCAATATTTTATCTTGGGAATTAATCTAACAAAACCACTTGTTAGCTCTATTAGGTGCCTTGCTATTTATTTATCTGTAAACAATTTTTCAAAATCCTACAGTTTAGAACCAAATTCAATCAAACTTGGTACACAAAGTAGACTACATAAATATTCATATTCTTTATTTTGATGTTTGATTTTGATGAATGTGTTGCCATGGTTACTAAATATAGAAATTAATGTGATATGCTCTAAAGATTCTACTTCTCCTGTAGTTTTGGTCCAAATTTTATAGAACTTGGTATACAAGAAGTCTACACTAGAGTACATAATTGTTTTTATCAGGTTCTGTTTTTGATTAAATATGTTGCCATGATAGTTAAAAAAAGAAAAATTCTGTAAATTTTTTTCAAATAGCAACTCCTACGGTTTTGTCCAGCAATTCAATAGAGCTTTGTAGAAGATAAGAAAACATCAAGATACATAAATCAGTTAATGTGAAACTGAAACAAAACCTTCAGTCTAGTCAGAGAATTCTGGTTTTTCAATTTATTGCTGATAGAAATCAACAACTTTGAATTAGTTGAAATACTCTTTTATTTTACTGAAATACTGAATTTTTGTTTATTTAACCCCCCCCCCCCAACCCCCCCAACCCCCCCCAATATTACTTGTGAATCCCAATCTTTATGTATATCTCAACATTTTCAGGAAGCTGATTGTAGATTAAAGTTAAAACCTAAACTCTGTGGCTTGCTGAACTTGGAACACGGAGCAGAGCCAGGCTGTAGAGAAGACGGAATCTGCTTCACCCTTCTGGTCTCCGTTGAAGCTTCAGAACTTCCTGTCTTAGGGAATCCTGTGTATAAATGGGTTAAACTCAAGGACCAAAATCTCATTCAGAATATTTGTGCATCATTAGATGAGGGGAAAATTGTGCCTTTCATTGACTTGAGTGGTGGAAGTTCCAAAAATTAGGTGTATTATGAAAGATTTATTTGTATTTTAGGAACAAAAATATTTCTTAGTTTTCAATTCAGTTCAGTTCAATTTAACATTACCTCATTGGCATACAGTCTTAGTGATATTAAATTCATATAAACATTATCATGTTTTATAAATGATATTGCAATGATTATCTATCTTATATGTACATTTTAATACTTGCATTTAAAATGTTTTTTGATTAATACCGGTAACAATGAAATGAGCAGGTTATGTCTTTATGCCTTATTATTTAAGTTTATATACTGCTTTTATTTAATTTTTTTTTTTTTAAGTTTATTCTGAAGAAAAAGTATGGCAACAAGCCATAAATTTATGCAGCATATTCTGTTGTTTTATTGTTTTTGTTTTTGTTTTTTTTTTGTCCATGCTGTTTTTGATGATTGTTATTTGACACATGTATTGAGGCATGTTTTAAAACTTTTAACATTATAATATTGAGATATCAGTAGAATTTCTCTCCTCAGAGGATTTATCAAATTGTAATAGAACACTAGTAAATATGCATATATACGTATAGCCTTTTCGCTAGGTTGATCCATACATATATCGACTTCACAGAAAAGCATATCCACTGAGCAAGAAGTGCTTATTTTATGATATTATCTTACTACAAAGGCAACATTGGTTACATTATTTTATAAAAAAAAGATTGTCAAAATGTTTTTAAAAAATATATATATTATAAGAAAGTACTGGTCAATCCGAGTATTTTCTGATTAACTGCAAAAGAATTTTGATTTAAACTTCCCTTATCTATTATTAGAAAGTACAATTTTTTATGTTCATATTTAGAGAGACTAGATCTATCCGCATTTCTTTACTTTGACACACAATATCAAACTCATGACCATGTATGAAAATTATTCTCTCTCTCTCTCTCTCTCTTTCTCTCTCTCTCTCTCTATATATAAAAGACTAAAATAGATATTATTAATATCCTGTTTCTGCCTGATCAGAACATTATATATATTTTATTTTAATTTCAGTAAGCAATGCCTGATCAGAACATTATATATATTTTATTTTAATTTCAGTAAGCAATGCAAGTTGTTTAAGTAATCACTATCTAATTTGTTGAGTATTGGGTATGCCAGGGAATTAATGACAGTTGGAAACGTGGGATAATTTCAACAATAGGCAAACCACTTTATGCATGGAATATGGAGAAAACAAACAGTATTCAATCTCAAAGTCCATTAAAACAATACAAATCAGGAGCAGAGCAAATACGGACCTCCAAAAACATAAGAGGTGGGGTCAGGTCATCTTTCTGACTGAAAAACTAGTTAAATACTGACTGAATAACTAGTTAACCGGATACAAATTGCCATCCCTAATATACTAAATAATACATTTAAATACAGGGTTTTGGGACATGCAATACACTTACTTTACAATAGTATCAGCTTCCCTGGCTGTACAGATCTGCAGGGCTGATACAGATAAAACAATACTTAACAGATTAAGCATAGTAAAAAAACCCACTTAAACACTCTCATAATATGGCAATTTTTGGGGTTCATAATCTCTGTAAAAATTACAGAATTGCAGTGGTTGAATTTTAAATTCCATTTACTTAATAGTTTACTAGTTGGTGATTTTTTAGATTTATAATAAATCGACAAAGAACAAAAAACATTTTGAAGGGAGAATATTTTTGCAGTTCCTGTTTATATCCTTAATAAAAATGTGTATTAACAGTGTTTGCACCCTGTTCTAATGACTGTTCTTTAATTAATTATATTTGGTTTGTAATTTTATCTTTGTAATTGTCTATAGTGCTTGCCAAATTAGTGTCTTACACTCCAGTAAGCAAAATAATATCTGTTCTATTTGATTTAAAGAAATAATGTATGTCCCTCGCTGACCTAATTAATTGGTAAATTAATAAATAAAACTTAACAGGATTTTTTTCCCCCAGCTTGTTGAAGATAACAATTAAAACATTTTTTGTGCACATTTTTGTATTTGAATATGTTGAATATTTATTTACAATGTATATATGGCCTAAGAAAAAAATATGTTTACTATAACATGCTAATAAAAAAAAAGGGTAGGTTAATTTTCTGATTTTATTTTTACATAATAAAAGGCATTACTTTGAAATAAAATTTTTTAAAGACAGTTCAAATCTCTCTTCTTCCAGCCCTGTTTATTTTAAACAATCTACCTGAAGCTCTGAAAAAGTGACCATATGACATATAAAAAATTTTGTTTGAAACAAAAATGGATCGGTGTATAAAAATTAGGCTTGGTAGGTAACCATAAACAAACATTTTTTTCCTAGGCCTTAAGAAATAATTTAATTTCTAGCCATTTTATTGGAGTAAAATTGGTTTGGATTAGTTTACACATTTTGAACCCCCAGATTAGCAAGTGCTCCAACATGTTCATACCCTCATTATTCCATTTATCCCCCCCCCCCCCCTCAAAAAAAAAATTGCTCAAAATTACTTGATTGTATTTTCATATAGGACACACAACATTTCAATTATATCATAATCATTACAAGCAATATGAGATAGAGCTGAAAAGTATTATCTTTTTAATCTAAGTTCCACTGACACAAATTTGGACAAAATGGCTTGAAAGTTTTCCAGTGGCTGAAAATACTCAATAGTAGGGTAAAACGTGAGTATTGTGAATGATCTGAATATGCATACTGAAATATTTGTGCTGTGATATTTTTGATGTTGTTGATTTGTCTTTGACTGTTATTGCTGAATAAAAGATACAGTATACACAGGCTGTGAATAATATTTTATTCTGTAAGTAATTAAGAGGATATTTTTAGGTAACTTTAAGTGTCACTTCACCATCATTATTAAAGTCTTGGGGCCCGTTTTACAAAAGAACTTACGACTATGACCAAACACTTCAGATGATTGTAAAATCTTGCAAAATGAATGAAAATATTACAAATTGTCTGCATAAACATATCTTTCTAAAGTCTTTTAAAAATGATCGAAACAATTTTCATGTAAACGTTAAAAAATTTTTGGAGAATTATATTTTGGTCTTAATCGTAAGTTTCTTTGTAAAACGGGGTCCTGTACTCCAAAGTAGATATACATGTATTATAAATGAATTTTGTACACTGTCCCCATTCATTTGATATTTTTAATTCCAATTTTGAGCTAATTTCAAATTTCTTACCTATAGATTAAGGACACAATATTGCTCAAAAGATTTTTTTAGACTGAAAACATAGTGGTGTTTTTATTAAAGTAGAATTTGCTATTTAGGCTAGCTTGCATATGTAGCCTGTGTTTTCTAAAGCAACAACGCCTCGGATAAAAATGAATGATAAATAAGGAAATAATTCTATTTTTTACCAAGTGACATTAGTGATTGCTGGAATTACTGTGTACTATATGAAAAAGGTGAAGATAACGAACAGTGATCCATCTCAATAACGCCGCGAGCCCTTTGCATTGATCAGGTAGACGGAATATTTCGTAGTCAAATTAAGTATAAAAATAAAGGCTTAGCAATTGGTATGAAATATGTCTGTCAGAATACCTAATGACACGTTGTATTTGTTAACAAGGTCATCATAACGAGCATAAAATTTACGAAATATTGACACTTAACGGGGTTGTTGATATCCCTGTAGCATCAACGTATTTGTCAGTAGCCTGTCTCTGTTTAAATATTGATCATACTCAGAGCATGCTCTTGAGTATCGGATAAGTTAGGAGACATAAACCATATCCAGGTGATAGCGGAACATAATTACATAAATAAGGAACGTTGACAATGGAAAGGCTGTAGCCATACAATTTACTTGTTAGCTTGCCTTTATCGTCTATAGACAGCAAAAAAATTAAACATGGAACAGACTCCATGTGTGGTATCTTTTATTTCGAGATCACTGGGTTATATCGAGTCGACATATGAATGGAAGTAACTATAGTTAATTGATAAAACGTCGTCGATAAATGGAACATCTAGTTGAAGACCACAGCAAGTGTTTAAAATCTTCTCATGCAGAAGTTTTCGAATAAATTTTGCTTCATGGGAATATTAAAAAAACCAGGTCGGTTAATAAAGGAGCAACACAATTAGTGTCAATTGGAATTCCAACAGTTTTTTGAAGGACATGGGACCAGTTTTACAAAAGAACTTACGACCAAGACCAAAAACTTCAGTTGAAAGTAAAATTTTGTTTCTGTTTAAACTTGCTAGCGTAAAAGTATCTTTTTTGATACCTTTTAAAAAGATTAAAACCATTTAGAAAGTTATTAGCAGAATTAAATTTTGGTCTTAGTCGTAAGTTCTTTTACAAAACGGGCCCCTGGTCTCCAAAGAATACACAGATATTGCATGTCAAAAGGAACTCCGGCATCCTTTTAAGATCAACTTCAGAGTAATTGCCTGTAAAATTAGAGTGATTTTTTTTTTTTACAAAGTAATTTTGTTGTTGACCAATCACAAGCTATGAAAATTTACGACTTCCACTTTTATTGAAGAAGCAGTTGTCTGTGATTTCTGAAAGACTAGTTTTAATTCATCATAAGGAATGGTTGTATAAAGTCTTAAAAAGTCGTACGTTTTGATGCTCTTGACTTTGAAAAAAAAATACGAATTTTAAAGTTACTAAAAGTTCTTTGGAGGCTTTGAGAATTCATACTTGATTTACACGACTTTTAGAATATGCTTTATAGCAGTTAATATTTTTGTGAGGGCTTGATATAGCATTTGCTAGACCTGACAATGTATCTTTGTTTGTTGCAAGGTTTTAATGAAGTTTAGGAATCCAATATTGGAAGGGTAGATCGAACTCAAATTCATTGACTGGAATATTAAAAATATTAAAGACTGAAATGTGATTTTGAAGAGTTCCATCCTTCGGAAGTGGATTGTAAGTATGATTTGGATTTTCAGACGTAGAATTAAATCCAAATTCTTCGGAGACTAGATTTCTGGACTTAAAATTAACACTCATATTAAAATATTTTAAACTTTGTTTTCGATTTTGATCCAAATTATTACATACTGGTATAATCTATTCATTTTTAGAGAGAGAGAGAGAGAGAGTACACCTCATTCTTTATCAAAATCAATT